CATGCATGATGACGAGTTGTACAACCAAAAAAGATAAATAGTACTTTTTGATAGCCTAAGGATAGGGACACAGAGAGCCATCTAGTTACTTGGAATACACTACAAGCTCCATAAATTGATTAAGTTTATGTCTTTGACATGTGGAAACGTCTCTGACCTAGTGTAAAAGGCTATTGAATAAAAATGTCGAGCGGCATTTTTTATTTTGGATTAGGTCGTGAGATGAAAAGACAAGGTCAGAAGTACTTATAAATGTTTAATATTTTCCATATCAACCTCCATTTGGATTTGGACTATAATAAGCCAACTTCACACTTAATCGTTTTGAAACTTGGTTTACGAGTTGAAGTAATATAAATATATGTGGTGAGACTTTATAATAATTATTTTTTAAATTAATAATTATTTTAATTTAAAATCATTATTGAGTGATTAACTATGATTGTTACTTCTTTTGATTTCAGGTGGTTATAATTTGTAGCAATTTTTCATGAATGATTGAGGATTGAAGTTCTATAATTTAGATTTTATGTCAAGTGTTTTGAACTTTTTATTTTATTTTAAGTATTCATCTTTTATGGATTATTATTGCTATTGACAAACAAGAAACTTTCATTTTTGTTGTTGTGTTCACTTTCATTTTGCTTAACTAAAAATGAAAAAAAGAGAGGAACCTGTTAGATCTTGGAACCTGTGACAAAATAGGTTCCAAGATATGCATGGTAAGTTTCTGATTTCAAAAAATTAAGAACCTATTTCGATGGGTAAGTTCTAGCTTCCGGGTGAAACCTGTGAAAAACTTGGAATCGCTCACCTATAGTATCAATTATTTAGCGGTTGTAAATTAAGAGGGAGGTGATGTAGAGCCAAGAAGGAGCTGTAAGGAAGATGAAATAATAAGAAAAAAGAAAGAACACACAAAAAGAAAAAGAGAGAAATAAAAAGGAAAGAAAATTAAACAAAAAATATCCTTGGACAAAAATACTCCTAACATTTTATAAGATTTGATCGGTCGATGAACTCGGACGCTTATTTGAGACTAAATTAGTCACTCTAAGCCCTTATTTGAGACTAAGGACGCGTTTAGTAACGTTTTTATTTCTCTGTTTTTATGTTCTTTTATTCTCCGTAACAGAAAAAGAATAGAAATTCGTTTGTGTACGTCAGTTAATTTTCTTATTCCCCGAAATTAAAAAGTGGCCTGAGAATAGATTTTGAACAGAGACAAGAAATAAAAAAAAATCTACTTTTTTATTCTCGGGAACAATTTCTGACACAAGGTCATTCTCAAGGTGGTTGCGTGAGGCTTGACCTTGCCAGTCCTCGTCTCTAGTCGATTGTCGACCATCGACAAGATCCAACGACCGGCTAGAGGAGGAAGAAGAAGGAAGGAAAAACAAAAGCCGACCGCGCAATGGCCGACGAGGTCAAGCCTTGCCGTGGTTGGCCTCGTTATGACCAGGCAAAGCCAACTTCGCGGTGGCTGGGCGAGGTCGAGCTTTGTCAGGAGCTGGCGAGGCTCGCCCGACGTCTCTGGCCTGTCGTTGGCCATCACCGAGGCTTGGCGACCAACTAGAGGAGGAAGAAGAAGTTCAAAAAAATTAGAAATATCTTAGAAAATTATTAAAAAAACAAAAAAAATTCCACGTCACAAATTTTTTTACGATCGTACCAAACACTTTTATGTTCTTTTTCTTTTCTAAGAAAAGAAATTTTGTACAGTTACCAAATGCGATCCTCTGCTCAAAAATTCGTCTAGAAGATAGAAATAAAAAAAAACTATTTTTGAAAATAAACTATTTCCGGAAACATAAACATTACCATACGCACCCTAAATTAGCCACTATGGATACTCTTTTATGAAAACGGCTTCACTTCAGACCCTTAAATGGAATTTTCCCTTTACTATCGACTACAGGCCCCATTTATAAAACTTAATAGCTAGTGGCAATTTTACTTTATTTGAGTAAAACCATTTTTTCATTAATGATTTACCTATAAATAAGAGAGCTAAGTTGTAAAACATAGAGACAGTTAGTAACACCATTCATTATAACTTCGGTAACTTAGGGTCTATTTGGTAACGTCTATGTTCGTGAGAACAATTTCTGTTCATAAATAATTTTTTTCTATTTCTATTACTTGAACGAGTTTCTGAGTAGAAGAACACATTTGGTAACTGTATAAAATTTCTATTCCTGGAATAGAAAAAGAACAGAAATGCGTTTGGTACGACTCTAAAAATTTCTACTCCCAATTTTTTCATGTAATTATAAAAATGTCAGTAGATACTTAACAATTTATATTAGGATAAAACTGGACTAGAAATAGAATCACAATATATTATGATAAAGAATTGGATGGCCTTAATACAATTATAAAGAAAATTACTCCTTATAGACAAAGTAAATACTAGATTGTGGTCGAGGAAATTGAAGTTTAATGTTTAGGTTTAGGATTTAAGGTTTGGGGTTTTGGGATTTTAAGGGTTTGGGGTTTAGTGTTTCGAGTTTTAGGGTTTTGGGGTTTCGGTATTTAGGTTTTAGGGTTTGGTGTTTCAGATTTTGGGTTTAGGGTTTTAGGGGTTGGGTTTTGGGGTTTAAGATTTAGGGGTTTTAGGTATTCGGATTTTGGGTTTAGGGTTTCGAGTTTTAAGGTTTTGGGTTTAGGGATTTAGTGTTTAAGGTTTGGGTATTCGGGTTTAGGGTTTTAAGGTTAATGTTTAGGTTTTAGGGTTTCGGGTTTAGCACGGAAATATCTTGTTAAAAAGAGAGAAAACTAATCTTGTTTCTCTTTTTATTCCCGTGAACAGAAAAGTATATTTTTTTTACTTCTTATTTCTGTTCCAAATCTATTCTTTGGCCACTTTTCTATTCCGAGGAATAGAAAAATTAACTGACTTTGTATTCCGAAGAACAAAAAATAGAAAAACAGAAACATTACCAAACAGACCCTTAGAAACCATTAAACAAGCCCCCTTGTAAAACCTAAAAGTAAATTGGTAATACTTTGACAGTAGTAAATCCATCATATCATCTGACAAGTTACTAATAAATAAATGCGACTGCTCGTAATATTGAGCTACTATTCATAATCTACGAGGTATTTAAAAATGGTATTATTTTGTTAGTATATTACTGACAAGTAGATTGGGGAACTAGTAAATGGAAGAATGGGTAACAATCTAATATTGAACTTTATAGTGGTAACATAATGATATTGTTGGTAAGTTATAATAATTAACCGGCACTACTAGAAAAGGATGTATGCATTTTCCATCCGAACGAGCGGCATAATTGTTATTTGAGATAATGACACAAATAATTCATGATTTTTGGCCCAATGTACAATATGATCCATAATTTTTTAATTTGTTTAGCATTTTCATATAGTACAAGGACTAAATTGAATATGTAACAAAAATTCAGGGACAATATTGAACAATTTAAAAGTTCGGGAACAACACTGTACATTAGGCCAAAGTTAAGGGACCTCATTAGATAAATTGAAAGTTTAGATATTACATTGTACATTAAATTAAAATTAAAGGATCATTTGTGTTATTTTCTCTCGTTATTTTAGCGGTGACTTACTAAAATATCAACTAGGCCAACAAGTTGCAGGTCAACTTCTTATTACCTATGAACCAATTCCAAGAGAACATGCTTTTGTTATCCTCTCTGGCTTGTTCTTCAAGAAAAAGCTAAGAAATGGAAAAAAAAAAGGAAAAAGAAAAAGAAAACGGAGAGGTCTTAATTAAACTATGATGGAAAATAATATTAACAAAGCAATTCTCAAAACAAGCAAATTGTCATGAATGATTGCTGAGAAAACTTCAATGCCCTTTTCTCGATATAGGTTTTGGCCATTTTGACATGAAACGTACACATATATCTCCCTGTCTCTCCACACCAATTTAAACCTCTTAACTTCTTCAAATAAATCCGCAAAATTCATGTATATTCTTCAAATGAATTCTCGTCTTACAACGTGTTGCGAAATAATGCCGTGATTTAGAAGATAACAAAGATTATAATAAGGAAATTCATGTCAAAACAACGTCATTTATTAAAGCCACGTTGGATCCAAGTCGATTACTTTGCTTGCCGTTGTACACTATATAAGCAATTGCGTAGAATTTTGGAGGGAATTGTGACGGAGAGTATATTTGTCAAGAAATTTTGGTGACACAAAATAGGCCTTATTCCCTAACGAACTCCCAACTTTAGGTCAAATTCCAATTCTACTTCAACTTTTTTTTTCTCTAAAAAAAGGTCAATAGCTTTCACTCCAATCTGAAATATGACCCCTTAGCCTTTTCTCCAAAAATCGCCACCAATTTCTTTAAGGTAATCAACATGGGGAGGTTGCTGTTAGTGAAAATATTGATGAATATGCATGTTCTGATAATGAACCTATGAGCGGCCCTAATGTCCACAATTCTAAAGAAACCAATAGAAACTTCATGGCCAAAGGTTAACGAGGGCAGGTTTAAGACCAGAGTGGAAGTTTGTGATTTTTCTGCCAAAAATAAAAGAGTTCAAGGCATAATTGAGATTGGACCTAAAGTCGAGAGATTTCAAGAGAATCAGGCCCTAAAAAATGTAACTTTTTGATGCATCACTGGCCATCGTTTCGGTCATACTTTTCCACTCTAAATTCATCTACACGTGTCTTGTCCTTTAAATTTGCTGAACAATCTAAAATATTCAAATATCCATTCATTTATATTTTTTTCCCCAAATGAATCAATCCCCTTTTTTTGTTTTTTCTCGAGATTTTTCCCTCAAATTATTCTGGGCAAAAATCAAGCTACGCAAACTAATTTTTTTTCCTTCTTTTGGGGTCGAAAAGCTACGCAGCCGAGGCAACTCCCAAACCACCAGTTCTCAACTCATTTCCCTCCCAATCCACACCATAAATGATAAAACCCACCCCCCCGCTCTCCTTAGGTTTTTATCCTTCCTTCCTCGTCGCCTTCATCATCGCTCGCCCTCTGCAACAACCTCCAGTTCGCTCGCGAAGCGCCGTGTCGATGGAGGGAACGGCGCTCCTGCGCTCCTCCCTCTCCTGCGCCAGATTCCTCTCCCGCTCCTCTCACGCCCGCCGGCTCCACCGACCTTCCTACTCCTCCTCCTCCTCCTCTTCTTCGTTTGCTCGCGGCGGCAGTCGCCCGGTTAACGGCGCCTCCCGGCGTCCCCCGCACCACCGGCGGTGCCGGTTTCTTCCCTCCTCGTCGTCGTCTTCTTCTTCTTCTCCGATCAGGTTCGGCCGGAACTTCTCTGCGCTCTCTCCTCGCGCCATCGCGACCCCGACTCAGCCTTCTCCAGGTAAAACTCCGCTCGCCGAGTCCCGCTCCTCCCGAGCTGCTGCGGTGGATGTCGCGCGCTTAACGCCGCGGCGCTGCTGGTGGTCTGTAGTTGGGTTGGCATTTGGGTTCTGACTGGTGCTTGGGGGGATTGCAGAGGTTGCTGGTGTCCAGGACGGGGTTGCCGAGAAGTACGGATTCGAGAAGGTGTCGGAAGAGTTCGTCAAGGAGTGTAAATCCGGGGCGGCTCTCTTCAGGCATAAGAAGACTGGTGCCGAAGTGATGTCCGTGTCGAACGACGACGAGAACAAAGTCTTTGGGATTGTTTTCCGGACCCCGCCGTGAGTGCTCTTTATACCGAGTTCTATTTGGCATCCGCAGAGGGGGGCGCGCGGTACTTTGGAGTGGGTTAGCAGTAGCTAAAATTGCCAAATCTATCGTTTTACTCCATTGGTTGAGTTGTTACATGGAGTTAATATGAGAAGATTGCGTTGATGATTCTGTGACCTTCTTCTCCTTTTGTTTTTTTTTGGAGTTGTTAATTTCTTTAGTGGAGTCGTTGCCTTCCATTTTATGTGTCTTTTCTCATATCTGGCTATCATTTCATCCACCTCTTTTCATCATTACATACCTTGCTTATGGACAAGAAGCTTGTAGACAAGAATCGCTTGCTCCACAGAAAGGTGGATATGTAAAGGACGATCCTTTACATATAGATTAGGCGTAAACTGTAGATGGACTCCTTTACCTTTTCTTCATTTATGCTTGTGCATGAACTTGTGTAATATAAATATTAAATTCTAGCAGGTACGAGCTTGTCAGGTTACCTGGTTAACTGGATTATTAGTTTATGTGTATTTGTCTCTCTGTGATTCCTTCTTTAAATATCACCCCGAAAGAGTATTGGTGGTTTTTGCTGACAAGTCTTGGTTAGAGTGTCGAAATTATGGCATGTTGATGGATCATTCTTATTCATACTGTCAGTCCTATTCCAGCACCTCAAGGAAAATGCTACAGGATATAGGTAGGGGAGTATAGTGACGGGTTGAGATGTCCTGTTGTTGTGATCATACTTGTCAAAATCTCCTCTGCTGTCATGTTTGGACCAGGGGTTGCCTTTGAACATTATTCTTTCTTAGTTTTCTGGTGTTTCCAACCAGAGAGGAGTATTGCTTGATGACATTTAATTATTTTATGGATGTCGCTTATATTTGGCACTTAAGATTTGTCGAGCATAGTTTTAGGTCAATTTATATAAAAGATCCCGACTCTAATGTTACGAAACTATTTTTAATTAGGCAAGGGATGACAGGGTGAGCTAAATTACATTTCTCATATAATGCTACGGAAGGCTTCTTGTCAAGATTCTTTTAGGGCACTACCTGACAATAGAATCCCCTTTAGTTGCCCATTTTGTGGTCCATTTCTTTGATTAGTTGAGATTCAGTGATTCTAACCTCCCCGCTAGACATGGTATGGCATAAGAAAATCTAGAAAGAAGTTTATAGAACTAGATATCTCCTGGGCCATAAGCCATAGGTGGAAAGATGTGGTGGATAATGTACAAAACGGTTTTAATGTGCCGTATCTTTTAATTGAGGCTTAACCAAGGGTACCCTTTTTCTTCCTTATATTGAAATACACTAGCAAAGAAGAGAAATAAGTTCTTTTTCTGTTTTTGAATCATGTCAGTTGAAATTTAATTTGTTCTTTAAGTTCAAGGTTCTGGATGATTGTCATATGTGCATTGTCTTTTCCTTTATCCCCTAACAGTACTCAATATCTTACAACCTTTGCTTTACTGAATTCTTCATGCAGAAACAATTCCGCTGGTATTCCACATATTCTTGAACACAGTGTCCTGTGTGGGTCCCGGAAGTATCCTTTGAAAGAGCCATTTGTTGAGTTACTGAAAGGCAGCTTACATACTTTCCTGAATGCATTTACATATCCTGATAGGACCTGCTACCCTGTTGCTTCCACTAATATGAAGGTGAGGAGTAGGTTGTTGATACTTGAGATCTGTTCAAATGAACCTAGTGCTGATTCTGATGCTTGACCGTTGTGATTGGAACAGGATTTCTATAATTTGGTTGATGTGTACTTGGATGCTGTCTTCTTCCCTAAATGCATAGACGACATTCAAACGTTTCAACAGGAGGGTTGGCATTATGAACTCAACAATCCTTCAGAAGAAATTTCTTATAAAGGTTTCTATAAATGATGTGCAAGTGAAACTCAATCAATTGAATATAATCTTACTAATAGTATAGGTTTTTACTAATGTGCCTTCTTGGTAACTAATCGAAGGTATGCTGAATATCAGGTGTCGTCTTCAATGAGATGAAAGGTGTCTACTCCCAGCCTGATAGTATCTTGGGTCGAGCTTCACAGCAGGCAAGTTTTTTTGTGCATTGTATACCTGTAAATTCAGAAGACTATTCAATCTTCAATCTGAAGCATAGAACGTCTTGGTACATGTTGGTATTTTGCTTTTCGCTTTGCATATCCTACTGTCTTTTTATATTTCTGCCAGGTTTTCCAAGTCCGAGTATAGATGAAACATCTAACAAACGTATTCGCTCTAACAGACCAATGTGCAGTCTCTCCACCCCTTATTCATTTTTCCACTTTCATTTTAAGATGACCGGAGATGTACTTATTTGACTGTTTTAAATTCAGAATGTTTTTCCTATGCTGAGAGATAGAGCAAAGCTAAAGGATAGCTGTTGACTTATATGGAATGTAATTCGTGATTTAAATATCCTGGCAGATTCTATACATACTAGGATTTTCTATATAGATGACTTCTTTTCCCCATGTATAGCAGAACATTTTGATATGACTTAATTTTTTTTTTTTTGGCCAGAATATGGCTGTAGTTTAGAGCTGATTAATTTGTAAGACCTATGTGAAAATTAATAAAAAAATAACCAGTATATCCTTTGAGGTGTTTTAATGAATTTTATAATTGTTTTTCCTGATATTTGTGTAATTTCTTTTCTTAATGTATCCCTGGTGTCTGAAGTCAATTTTAGCACCCTCCTTAGTTTGGTTTTCGGGCTAGAAGGCATTTAAGCCCTTAACGCGCCATCATATTGACATCAACATCCACTAAGTTCCATTAATACGATTTCTTTTTTTCCCTAAACTAGAATCTGTTTGACCTGCTTATGGAGAGCAGATGACAATTTTATTCGGTCCAGTTGGTTTTATAAATTCCTGAATCTGGCTTGATCCTTTTTTCTATGTCTATAAATATTCTTCATGCTGTAAACTCCCTCATCCTGTTATTGATATTATTGCTTTTGAGACCATCATATTTTGGCTATGCGGCTGACACTACTAGCATGCTAAAGATTTAATTTGTTTGAAGGCACTCGATTGTTGATCTAAGTTCACTAACAGTTGGCATCTAAATCCACACCTCATTTATCACCTTACCGTAATATATGGCAGGCTCTTTTTCCAGACAATACTTATGGTGTTGACAGCGGAGGCGATCCACAAGTTATTCCTAAACTGACATTTGAGGAATTCAAGGTTCGCACTTAGTTCCATTTGTTCCCTATTGATTTTGTTCCGACCCAATTAGTGTTTTTACGGATGGAATCATGATGCTACTGCTTGTAAGCTTCTATAGTGACAAACATTTACCTATTTCATGAGAGTCAGCATCATAATATAGTGAACCTTCTAAAAGTTTGAATGCCTAGAATGGAAAAGAATGAAACTAACCATGGTAGTGATTGCTCTGATGATGATACTTCTAAAGGATTTCTTCTATTGGTCCCTAAATTCTCTATTTCTTTTTTGAACCATACAGGAGTTCCATCGCAAGTATTACCATCCCAGCAACGCTAGGATATGGTTTTATGGGGATGATGATCCAAATGAGCGCCTACGCATCCTTAGCGGTAATTTGACAATTTTACTCATGCTATTACTGCAAGTGCGATGTATACCTTTGAATTAGATATCGACTTTTCTATCTCATGTCCTAGAAGTAGAATAGCTCTTTCTTGCTGAATGATATGGTAGTAGAAGCTGGCAAAGATTACTTAGCAGTATTGATCTCATTGTCGTATGTCATGGAAACTGGATTTGGTTTTTAAATGGTGTTAGGCAAAGGTTATGCGCACTAAATAGATCAATCATTTCTATTGTTTTATGGAAAAATCTGGTGTGTGGTTTCTGTTTATATGTGCTTTGAATTAATTGTTCAGTAAATTGCACTGAATTTTGTCTATGTAGGTCACTTCTAGGAATGGTAATGCTTAGCTAGTCTTTTTAAAGTGATGATGGTGATGAGCAGAGAATCTCACAAACCTTTATTGCAGAGTACCTTGACATGTTTGATGCAAGTCCCGCTGCAAATGAATCAAAAGTGCAAACCCAAAAATTGTTTTCCAAGCCAGTTAGGATTGTTGAAAAATACCCTGCTGGTGAAGGTGGTGAGTTGAAGAAGAAGCACATGGTATGCCTTAATTGGTTGCTGTCAGATAAACCCTTAGACTTGGAGACTGAACTTACGCTTGGGTTTTTGGATCATCTCATGCTGGGATTTCCTGCTTCTCCGCTGAGGAAAATTTTGTTAGAAAGTGGTCTGGGGGAAGCTATTGTTGGAGGTGGGATTGAGGACGAGCTCCTTCAGCCTCAGTTCAGTATTGGTTTAAAGGGTGTTTCCGAAGATGACATTCCAAAGGTACAAGAATTGATTATGAGTACCCTGAAAAAGTTAGCAGAGGAAGGTTTTGATACAGAAGCTGTAGAGGCATCTATGAATACCATTGAGTTTTCTCTCAGAGAGAACAACACCGGATCATTTCCCCGCGGCTTGTCTTTGATGCTTCGGTCCATTGTAAGCAAGAAGGCTTTTTAATTTTCTTCCACCTTTCCATTTCTTGCTGCTGGATTTTGCAATCGTGTTTAGTTATTGTCTTCCTTGGTTCAATTATTTGACCTGTTTCCGTATCTATAGGGCAAATGGATATACGACATGGATCCTTTTGAGCCACTAAAATATGAGGAGCCCTTGATGGCCTTGAAAGCAAGAATAGCCAAGGAAGGTTCCAAGGCTGTTTTCTCTCCACTGATAGAGAAGTTCATCTTGAACAATCCGCATCTTGTTACTGTTGAAATGCAGGTATGGAACTTTACAGAGTCCATAACGCTTCCATATTTGACATGTCAGATTGTGACAAGCATCATCTGTTTCAGCCTGATCCAGAGAAAGCTTCCCGCGACGAAGCTGCTGAGAAAGAAATTCTAGAGAAAGTCAAAGCAAGTATGACAGAAGAAGATTTAGCTGAGTTAGCACGTGCCACGCAGGAGCTACGTTTGAAGCAGGAAACTCCAGACCCACCAGAAGCTTTGAGAACTGTCCCAAGCCTTTCTCTGCATGACATTCCTAAAGAGCCTATACGTGTACCTACAGAGGTCAACCTATTTACCATGTTAACTTTGTGATGCCAAGCTATGTATCATATTGCCAGGCTTCTTAACATTCACATGGTAATGCAGGTTGGAGATATTAATGGTGTGAAAGTTCTGCAACACGATCTCTTCACAAATGATGTTCTTTACACTGAGGTTGTGTTCAATATGAGTTCTCTGAAGCAAGAACTTCTTCAATTGGTACCTCTTTTCTGGTAAGTTTTATTAAAGAGAGAGCATGTTATTCTCATCACTTCATAAAGATGGTAAAAGTTAACACAGCCGCCAAGACTCAGATAGGTGCTCAGGCTTGATTAGGTTCTATTCAAATCTGATATCATCATGTGTTAGATATGCCTTGAAAGCACAAATAGAGAAAGTATTCTTCTGCTATGCTGTTGATCTTGGTGGCTGCAGTGATCAATCTAATATACATGTCAATTTCTCTTTGAAATGCTTTCTTTGTCAGTGAACGGGATTTTAATTTGATTCTTTTGCTGAACTTAACACTCTTACAGCCAGTCGTTGCTGGAGATGGGGACAAAGGACTTGACTTTTGTGCAACTTAATCAATTAATTGGAAGGAAAACTGGAGGCATATCTGTTTATCCATTAACATCATCAGTTCGCGGCAAGGAGGATCCTTGTAGCCATATCATTGTCCGTGGCAAAGCCATGGCTGGACACACCGAAGACCTCTTCAATCTGGTATATTGGTTCTAATTTTTTACTCTTTGTGACAATGTGCTTCACTTCCGTGCAGTAGATAATTTTTACTGGTTGAAGTGCTCTTTCTGGTTGGCCTATAGTTGCTTTGAATGCTTGTCTAGTCTTTGCTTTGAAAGCTCTTGCACCCTGAGGCATGCTAGGTGTCAGAAGATGTGTGGTTACCTGATTAATAAGGTCACGATGATAGCAAGAGCCCCAAATATATGAAAAAAATGAGCTGTCCTAAAGTTACAAATAATGTAGCATACAGAGACATACAAGGAGAGTTCTCAAATTTTTATAGCTTTTAGCCAGTTTGGATTATCCAACAGCTGTGCATTTTCTCTTGTTATTTGTAAGAGCCCTTTTTGGGTGAGGCCAAAGAGGAGGATAACTGATGAAGAGGTCAGAAATTTAAATGATTTTATACTTGTTAAATTAGACAACAGAGGTGGATTCATTTGCTGTGCGCTGCAAAAAGTAGGATGCGTTTGATTCCTGTCTGGATTTTGGTTGGTTTGGAAATAGTGAAACACAAGTGCCTATGAGGGAGAGGAGTCTTCTGTGTTTGTAATTATGGAACAATAGTCAAACCCTTACTCTTTCAGTGTAGTGGAAAATTATTGGCGGATGTAAATTCATTGGTTGACAATGTGGATGCTTTGTCCTGTAATTTAGCCCTTCTTCATATGGGTTTGCAGCTGGTTCATGCCCTAGAGGGATTTCTCGTTACATATAAAGACGAAAAAAAAAAGATGATAGCAGAGGTTGATGCTACTAAGTGGACAAAAAGCAGTCAATCATGAATTTGTGATGCGCCTCCTCCTCTCTCTTACTCAGCTTTATGAGTGAAGATTGGAGGGAGTGCCTAAAAAGAGAAAGGATAGTTTCTACAAGAGGACCAAACTAACGGCATATAAACACGGAATGCTGCATGCAGATTGTCTAAAATTGGTTCTCATCTTCCAGAGGATATCGTGGGGTAAAGCTATTAGAGTCGGGCTTGGGATTGCTCCTAAGATCATAGAAGTAATGCTGAGGGGGCCCTGTTGCCTAAGGGGATTGGGAGAGTCTTTAGTTCAGTAAGTGTCTCGAAGAGGCTTTCTGGCTATGCAAGAAATGAAAGGGTAATCCTTTTTGTTATGTATGAACAAAGAAGGAGATCCGTCCATCTATCCCTCTTATTTGAATCTGGAGATCTGACAAGTTGTCTGTTTCATTTGACATTTGATTCTAACATTTACAGTTGACTGGAATATGTCCATAGACTTGATTATGCTCATGCCAAGGTAGCCTTGTTATCTTAAAAACGTAAGTGAGAAACCTCAATGTTTGCCTGTTGATGTGATAAGAATGGATTTAGTTTATATGTTATTACTTTATTATTCTAATGCTCATTCCTCCTTGGGCTTTGACTTTTGCTAATACTTTTTTTATCATTTCAGTTTAGTATGTAATCTTGATAAATGGCTTATATTTCTATTTACCTTTAAGGTTAATTGCACTCTTCAAGAAGTTCAATTTACGGATCAGCAGAGGTTTAAGCAGTTTGTGTCCCAGAGCAAAGCAAGAATGGAGGTAGATTTTTATTAAGATGGACAACGCATATCACCATTTGTGAGTTTGCTCAGATGTGGTTTTTATGCACAGAATCGACTGAGAGGCAGTGGCCACGGAATTGCAGCTGCTAGGATGGATGCAAAGCTGAATGTTGCTGGGTGGATTTCTGAGCAAATGGGTGGTGTCAGGTGGTGCAACTGGGATTTTTCCTTAACTTACTTCCATCCCGCGGTTCTGTCTTCTTATTTGGCTGTGTTTCTTCCATTCTATTAATCTACACTGAGAAGTGGTAATGATAACGTATATAATAGAACAGCCAAAGAAATCTACGAACTGCATTTGAGTAAATAAGAAAACACCTTTTACACAGAGATTGTATGATTTCATTCAAAGCAAGATATTCTCATCCTATGACAGATTGAGCAGTGACATAAGGATAAAAGGTAGAGTAACTTGGAGGAGTTTGATGCTGATAGACACTCCATTCGTTGAGTTTAGTGCACATTTCCTAAAATCCTGACTGATCGCTGATTGCATTTCTTTGAGCCTTAGCTCATAAAAGTTGAGGAGCTACAGTCCTTTCCTGTGAGACTAGGTATAAGCCCTTCCATGGCCTTGGATGGGAGATCATGCTTTGGCTGTAAATCTACCAGTATATTCCTCCTCCTCTTGACTTTCTGAACCACAAAAATCCCATGATTGCAGCGTAACATATATGTGAATAATCTGTACCTTCTCTAAATTATTGACAAGTGGATACTATTCTAGATATGTCTCGGTTTTTGAACTGCTTTCTTTTGTTTCTTTGCCTGGAACATGGATGGACGTGCAGCTGTTGATTGTATGTGCATCATCTGTAACTTTTAATTTGTTATTGTGTTGGAAGTGTTCTTTGTTTTTTTGCCTAATTGTCCCTCACCATCCCCCCCCCCCCCCCAAAAAAAAAAACAGAAAAAGAAAAAGGAAAAGAATAAAAAGAATAAGCGTACATGAGTTGCAATCTTTTTCCTTCCCTTCTGCATCAAGGATCTTGTAGTTGCCATAACTGCTGTAAGAAATTTGATGTTAAAGCTATTGTCTAATGGAAGTTATGGCATTCTTATTATACATTTAGTTACCTGGAATTTCTACGAGATCTCGAAGAGAGAGTTGATCGGGACTGGGATGGAATTTCTTCATCTCTTGAGGAGATTCGCAAGTCATTGCTTTCCAGGGATGGTTGCTTGATAAATATGACTGCTGATGGGGGGAACCTGAAAAATTCAGAGAAGTTTGTCAGCAAATTTCTTGATATGCTTCCCAGCAATTCAAATATTGGGGCCAATACCTGGAGGGCATGCCTTTCTCAGGAAAATGAAGCTATTGTGATACCCACTCAGGTTAGAATCACTTGTTTGAGTAACTCTGTTGGCCTTGGCTTCTTTTCCGACTCACTGACATATGACCTGGCACTCTGCAGGTTAATTATGTTGGAAAAGCAGCTAACATCTACGAAACGGGATATCAACTTGATGGTAGTGCATATGTCATCTCAAAATACATTAGTAATACATGGTTGTGGGACCGTGTGCGTGTCAGTGGTGGGGCTTATGGAGGTTTCTGTGACTTTGATACACACTCAGGTGAGGCTTTACATTGTTATCTTGTTGGCTACATATATCTTTGCTGGAGCTTTACATTAAACTTACGGTTTTCATACCCAGGAGTCTTCTCTTTTTTATCTTATCGAGATCCAAACTTGTTAAAAACACTTGACATTTACGATGCAACTGGAGCTTTTCTAAGAGAGCTGGAAATGGATGATGATACCCTAAACAAAGCAATTATTGGGACCATTGGAGATGTAGACTCTTACCAGTTACCTGATGCCAAAGGTTATAGCAGGTATGCTGATGGCACATTCTGCTTCCTTTTGTATTTGTTTGCTTTCATTCAAGATGCAGGGGAGAAAAGAGTAAGTTAACTTAGTTATTCAGTATTTGTTGTAACTTGTGATTGATCCTTTCTTTCAGCTTGTTACGGTACCTCTTGGGAATTACAGAGGAAGAGCGGCAAAGGCGGCGCAAGGAAATACTGTCCACTAGGTAAAGATTTTTTTCCATCTTCCTCCAATGAGAGTGGAACATTTTTGACTTAAATCCTGCTGATACTGTCCTGGGGATACTTGTTTAAGATTCAGATGAACAGACTACGAAGTGATCATAGTCATAGTCAGTGCTTCATTATCGTTTGGAAGAGACCCTCCAATCAGGCGGTGTTCTACTCATGAAAATCTTTTGCAGTCATAAGTTTTGAAGGTCTATACATGCACTTGAATGAAAATAGTTTCAGTAGTATCAATAGCCAAAACGTTAAACAATTGAAGAATCTAATTGCTAACAGGAAAAACCATGATCTTTTTTATGACTGATAAACTAGGTTAAAATTATCATATACTTAATTAATGTAGCAGGCCAGACTCTGCTGATTTTCTCGTTACCATCCGGGATCCATTGCTTGGCATGAGTAATTTTCACCTTTCTTCCGATATTTTCTTTTAACCTTCCCTTTTTGTTTCGCAGCTTGAAGGATTTCAGAGATTTTGCTGATGTAATTGAATCGGTTAAAGATAAGGGAGTTGTGGCGTCAGTGGCATCTCCTGATGATGTTGAAGCTGCAAATAAGGAGCGTCCAAACTTCTTTCAAGTGAAGAATGTGCTTTAAATGGATACAAGTGGCACAAGACGGAAAGGAAGGGGTATGTTTTTACCCCATTGTTATACTTGCGATGCTTGTAGGATTGTTTCAGTGTTTCTGTCGCATTTTAAATCAAGTTATAACAGGCAATGCAACGAGGAGAGTCGATGTAACGTGACTTTGTATTCATACATCTCAAGTAAAGGAAAGGCGCATATTATACCTTTTGACACCACTGATTGTGAATTCTCTTTACCTGTTTTAATCAGCTTTGTCTGGTAATTATTGTGATCTTTGAGTTTAAGAACATAAGCAAGGCGGGCCTAGATATTCCGATAGAGAGATTGGGCGGAGTTGTACTCGATGAACAAAGAGAGATTAACACTTTAACACCATTCAGTTCAATAAAAGAAATGCTTATGACATACTTGGAAAGTAAGTGAAGTGAGATTACAGGCTTGCAAGGGGCAACATACTATGAAATACTTCTCTAGGCATTGAACGACTTATGCATATGATTGATTCTGGAGTACAAAGAGTTGATCTCTTACGTGGGAATCGTTGTCGCTGTGCGAAGTATGACCTTCAGTTGTGTAACCTGATGCAACCGAATTCGGTACGCTTCTTTGCCTAAACAGTAACATGCATACACCGGGATCACGGTCCCGGGTGGTTCAGTTGTCAGGTTCATTACATGTGTGAAACATCAAATCAGACAGCAATACATCTTAACCAACTCTCTCGTTCCGTAACCAGTGCAGCCCAATTCAACGCACGTCCACGAACAGAATCAATCACGGTGAGTGAAGAAAGCTGTGGTGGGGCTCGTGTTTTTCTATGAAAATTATCCTTCTGTTACTTCATTTTTGCAGTGTTTTGTACTAATGATTTGGGTTATACTCAGGGTGTGCATGTGCTTTTCTCAGACAAACATCTTCAGGTTGTATCAATAACAATGTACTCCAGATACTAAAGTGGTACCATGTAGGGGTCCAAGAGGCTGATTGTATCAAATAGACACCAATCGGTAATCATTTGATACATACATCCTCTTCGAAGATTCTCGACTCCGACGAGCCCGCCGACCACCTAGCACGTTGTGGGTCGAAGTTCCACATTCCCCACACATGAGATCGGGACCGGCTTAGAAATGCTTCAATGTTCTCGCAACTCGGCAGTTCAAACTTTCACGATCGAAATCCTTTCAACCCCAAGAAAACCGAAAAGGAGCGACAACAAAGAAAAGCGAATAGCAATGTTTTCGTCGTGTCGTTGTTCATAGTTACTGAACAACGAGATCACCGCATGTCGAGAATTACTTTTAACTCGATAACGACGTTGCCTCTCATTCATGAGATGCCTTCTTCAGATAGAGAAAGCTTTGTCCTTCCTCGGGTTGTTCTAGGAAACCGTACTCGTAATCGAAAGCAGGTTCCTAGGAGGCTAGGACCACACCGCCCCTCTACAGCAACCGAAGAAGATGTCCAGCTTCGAGTAAGAAGACTTTGTTGTCAGACTCAAGGAGAGCCCCCATTTATGATGCTTCCTTCCTTCCTTCCTTCCAAGACCTTCCAATTTGGAAGGATGTATGCCAATCTGTTAAGGAGGAGGAGGAGGAGGGGGCCATTTGATTGCTGTGTCTTTGCTTGGTAGGTCCCTGTGAATTAACATGTCAAGGTTGCTGATGCCCACTTGCTGATTCCTGTCCCAAAGTTGTCCTATCTACTTCTTCTTGCTGATGATGATGATGATGTGATGAGGAGGAGGAGGAGGAGGAGGAGGAGGAACTTGGGTGATTTGCATTATAGTGCATAGGAGGTGTAAAAGTCTGGATTTTGGACGCATTAAATCTTATTTCCACTTAGACTCGGAGGCGTGCGGGTGTGTAAGAGGAACGAGGGTCCTCTGTTCCATTTACGGGGAAAATTACCCGAAAAGCCATAAATCTATTGTATTTGTGCCGATTCAGACCCAAATCTTTCAATTTCGCCAATTTAGTCCTAAACCTTTTAATAATGTGCCAATTTAGTCAATCCAGTCAATTTTGGTTGGAAATCGCTGATATGAACGCCAGCTGTCCAACGTAAGACAATTTGTTTCAATTTTTCGAATTGTTCATTTCTTTTTCTTTTGGCTCGCGGCCATTGACAGATGAAAGGAAATAAAACAAAAAGAAGGAAAAGAGAAGAAAATAAAAAAAAAAGTTTTAAAAAAATTGAAAAAAATTGTCAACGTTAGCGCCGGTCATACCATGTAAGATGGGCAGCGTCCACGTCAGCGACTTCCGGCCAAAATTTGCGGGATGGATTGAATTGACAAATTGTGAAAACGTCTAGAGTCAAATTGGCCAAATTGAAAAGTTTAGAACTGAATTGGCATAAATACAATAGGTTCTGTAATTATCCCCCCATACGTGCTTGCACACGTGTCGCAATAATCCCAATCGCTTGGTTTTGAAAATAACTCCTAATGCATCAACGGTTGAGATTCCGCGAGACGCCAAAAGAGGCACCGAGCCAGATTGAGAATCTCCGTTCGTGTTATGTTAAGAATGAGTAGATAACTATACTTTTGCTTGTCTGCTGATTAGTAACTTATCTACGCGTCTAGGTTAAGTACAACAACCTCCTTTTTCGACTTGTGGCTTAAGTACATTTCCCCCATGTTTTTTCCGATTCTCAAAAAGAAAAGAAAAGGCCACACTGTAACTCCAATTGATACTTGAGCCCGACTTGCAGGGTTACCAAATAGAGATTGAATTCGTTCTCGAATGATTCCCATTTGAAATAGTATGGGTATGCCAAAACGGACCGCCCAGATCAGACCGCCCGGTTTGGTCTAGTTCTTGGTTCCTAAAAGTGGGACCGATATCCGGGCAGTCCGATCCGGTTCTCAGTTCCAAGGGAAACCCGGAAACCGGACTTGACGAGACCGACAATATATACTTTTTTTATTTTTTATTTTTGCAAAAAGAAATAGTAAAATGTGAACTAAACCCACGTCCAATGGTTCCATTGGACTAGACCAGTTTAGTCCGATTCCCGGTCCTCGATTCACAAAATTGGGAACCGATCCTCCCTGTCCGGTTCCCGATTCCACCTTGAAACCGGACTGGAACTAGACTGGAACCAAACTAGAAAACAACCTCCCCTATGAAATAGTGGTAAAATCTGAAGCTAGCTAACATTAGTTTACTATATACGATACACCTTCTCATAAAACCATCAGAACACATTTCACCACCACCTTTTTCCTTGGTTTACAATGATCCACGTACCTGTATAAAATCAATCACCGTCCGTCCCTTAGAAGAACCTAATATCGAATTTTCCTGACAATGGAGCTGATGACATATAATTTCCGTGACGGAGCGATTATGACCTCATCTCTCTCTCTCTCTCTCGAGGTGATCGCGGCCGCCTCTTGCAGTGGCCATCGTCGACCTCGTGCCGCTTAATCACAGGCCATTGCGTCGATACACGAGCCTCGGGCAATCCTAAACACGGCCAGCACGGCGTTCCTTATGACACGGGCGAGAGAAGCGACTGGGGTGGATATCGGGTCAAAGCGGGCCATCTTAAATACGCCTCTAGTCCTCACGTCGCCTAACATTAGACCGTTACATCGGTAGATAAGTCTTTTGCGTAATCTAAAAATGGGATAATGACACAAATAGTCCATGAACTTTGACTCAATGTGCAATTTGATCCCTGAACTTTTAATTTGTTCAATGTAGTCCCTGAACTTTAACCTAATGTTCAATGTGGTCCCTGAACTTTCAATTTGTTCAATGTGGTCCCTGAACTTTCAGGGTACATGCTCAATATAGTCCCTGAACTTTATAAAAATGTTCAATATAGTCCTTGAACTTGAATCAATGGAAGGACTACATTGAACATTTTTATAAAGTTCAGGGACTATATTGAACATGTACCGAAAGTTCATGGACCACATTGAACAAATTGAAAGTTCAGGGAGCACATTGAACATTGGGTTAAAGTTCAAGGACTACATTGAATAAATTAAAAATTCATGGACCAAATTACACATTAAGTCAAAATTCAGGGACTATTTGTATCATTTTTCCTCCGATAAAAATTAAGCACGCCGCCACATTGAACGAGGTGGAAAAGCATTCCCGCTTCGAGCTCAGCTAGGCCTTAGGGTAGGGCGTGCAAATCCAAGCTTGGGGGGGAGCCCACACCATCGCCTTCGAAATACAAAACGAATCTCAGCCGTCCATCTCGGTCGCGCGCTCTCCCCCGTCTCTACTTCAAATCGCCACCGCAGGTCGAGACACTACGCTGGCAATGGAAGAGCATCGCTCGGCGCGACGACTCAAGCAAGCGGAGCTCACCGGAGCTCCGACTCCGGCGGCCGCCGCCGCCGCCGCCCGCGAGGAGCCGCTCGAGCCGCGGCCGGAGGAGCGCGGGGCCGGCGAGCCGCCTCTTCCTCCGCTCCCTCCGCGTCCGGACTCGTCGGAGAAGATCAGCGCGCCGACGTCCGGGTCCGGAGAGATCGTGTTCGGAGACTCCGCCTCGAGCTCCGGACCTTCGGAACCGCCTCGTTCCTCGGCGGGGAGCGACGAGGAGTCCGTCGGCGCTGCGAAGGAGAAGCTCGGCGCCGACGCCGTCGATCGTCAGCAGCAGGTGAATTTCGAGCTCGATCGCCCTCTCTCTCTCTCTCCGTTTCCTCGTGCGAATTCCATCGTCTGCGCGCGTTCGCGAGAGAGAGAGACAGAGAGAGAATTTCCTACCGTTTCGCCACCTCCGTTGCTAAATTAACTGAAGATCTCGAACGGTGCAATCGCAGGCGAAGAGTTTCGAAACCGAAGCGTCGACATGCAACGGCGATTTCAGGTTACTCCACGTTCATTCATTCTTCGATTTTCCATCCCCTCTTGAATTCCTCCCCTCGCGTTTCTTTCTCTCGATTCTATTTAACTCGCTCCGGACACGAGAAATCTTGTCTTTTGTCGTCTTCTGCGCCGCCGGCGAACTCTCTGTCAATCGTCCTCCAAATCGCAGCAGAGAAACCACCGCGTCGAGGAGCGGCGAGGAGGAAGCCGCCGCCGCCGCCAAATCGGCGACGATGGCGAAACCGGCGGCGGCGGCGAGCGGAGGGAGGCCTCCAGCGGGGGGGGCGGAGATGCCGTCGCGAGCGGAGCTGGAATCGTTCTTCTCGGCGGCGGAGAAGCGCGAGCGGCAGCGATTCGCGGACAAGTGAGTGTGAATTCTTCGAACGTTTCTCCCTTCATTCGTTGTAGTAGAGAGAGAGAGAGATTGCCTATGTGATGCATCTGCTCCTTCTTCTCCTCCTTCGTCGTCGTCTTCTTACCGAATTCGCAGGTACAACTACGACGTCGCCATGGACGCCCCCCTCGAAGGTCGCTACGAGTGGATCCCCTTGAAGCCGTGACGGAGGACGGAGAGGAGAGAGAGAGAGAGTGACGCGGAGGTGACGCGACCGAGGTCAGCTGGCGACGTCTCAGAGAGAGAGAGAAGCGAAGCCAAGCAAAAGGAGCGTGGGACGGAATTGGAAAGCGGTTGGAATTCGGTGACGCGTACACCCCTCGTCTCTCTCTCTCTCTCTCTCTCTCTCCCTTCGCCGGAAAAATGCCCAAAAAAAAAAAAAGAAAAGGAGAAGAAAATCCCAGTCGAGAATTACGAATAAAACACAAAAGAGAATTATATCTGTAATTTCTTCTCCGTTTTCTACGAGGTGCAAAACAAGCCCCTCTTCTTTTTATTTCCCGTTTCGGTCCCCCGGATTTTATATGAAATTGCGAATTTCGGTCCCGCTCCCCCTGAGAATTATATCTATCTAATTAATAATTGCTATTCACAAATATTCCTGCTAATAAAGTGAGGATATACCATTCGACCCAAAAAAACAGGTGAGAATATACACTTTCACTCTCTCTTCTTTTTTTTTTTTCTTTTTTGTGGCTGTTGTAGATTTTGTCCGTCATCATGAATGCGTGTTGCTTCTCGGAATATCATCTGTTTTTTTGGGGCATCGGACAGGCAAGAAACTGCGCACATGCCTCGCAGCTGGGGGACCCCATTCCCCGCGCATTGATTTCCACCCCCCAAAACGTAAAACCCACGCACGTAACTCCTTCCTTCCCTTCCCTTCCCTTCCCTTCCCTTCCTTCCCCTCCTTCCCCCCCGCTCCTCCCTTTTTTGCAACATGCCTCTCGACACGCGGGCGGTACGTGTGCGCTAAGAGGGTATGAACCTCGTAGATTCGCGGCGTGGGGGATATACTTTGACGCCGCCTCGAGAACGGGGCGCGGAGTGACGCGGGGGAGAGAGAGAGAGAGAGAGGCCCCCGCGCACGCGAAAGTGAACCGGAGCGGAATCCAGCTCCCCCGATATCATTTCGGAATGTTCGGTCTAATTGGTGAGCGAGACCGTAATAATCCCGCGAACAAGCGACGTGAAATGCTTCGATTGTCTGCAGCAGCAGCAAGGCACATCACATTGATCTTCATGTATTGTTAGCTAAAATCAGAATTATTACCCAGTTAGTAGCATTTCCTTTTTTTTTTTTTTTGAGAATGTTCGAAAGTTTAAACCAAAAACTTGAACTTATAAGTGGAGAGAGAGACGCTTGTCTATAAAGAACACATAAAGTCACGTAGATAAGTAATGCAGGTTACTTTGATAGAGTGGAAATGACTCACGATCAATGTTGTTTTATCAATTATATTTCGCAGGGTGAGCATTACATCATTGCCTGAGTATAATTACGCATGCTTAATTAAGATCTCTGAAGGAGCATGGTTATTTTTTTTTTCCATATGTTTGTGTATTATTTAGTAGGTTAATATGTCAAGTGGATTGAATACTTGTAAAGGATAACAACAACAACGGGAGATAATTAAAGTTACAACATGGTAATTAGTGAAAAAGGGTGGGGATTAAACCAGGCACATGCCTGATCCAGAAGCAAGCAACTTTATATATTAGGGCATGGTTTTTGTTCTCTGTTTTTAAGACAGAGCTTTCTGAATTATATTACTCAAGTTCACATGCTTCCCCCCTTTCATATTTTTCACATCACGAGCATCAAATGGCAACTCATTTTCTGGAACTTCTTTTCCGGACATGAAAATTCGACTTTTTTTTTAATTTTGTGAAATACCACGCGCATAAAATCATTTCTGAGACAAACAATCGCGAAATAGAAACATTCATCTGCTAACGATACGTCGGATACAATTGTCGGAATCGAAAAATCGCGCACAAACGGTGATAAATTCCTTTACACCGTCGGTGGACCCAATAAGAGTTAGAAAAATTGATCTCTTCTTGATTTTTTTTTTTGTGGTTTTGCATTTTTTGTAGATCTCGTTGCTTTTGCAATTTAGCTTTTGTTTAGTCAAAATATTTCTGACCTTTGGAATTACATAAATATTATGAAGTATTAGTTAATTCGTTTCTGAATATTTAGATTGGAAAGTGCAATAGCAATAATCTGCCCCCCAAACAGGCGGGCTTTGTCATGCATTGTTTGCTAATCAAGATCGACGGTGATTTGGGCGAATCACGATCTCGACGTGAAGTGAGGATCAATACACGATTTGCACAAAAGGAAAGAAAGAGAATAAATCAAGAAGTTAGAATAGAATGTATCGAAGAATAACTTCCGGCTCTCTTGCATGGTCGTAAATTTTATTGAAGTATCGCACTACTTGCCAATTTATACGCTCTTTATGTATATGATCTCTCTCCACGTATATATATATGATCTGCTTTGATACCATAAGTGTCCAAGGATCTGAGGATTATAATTAGAGTGAAATATTATAGAAGAAAATCAATGAATGGAAGAAAATGATTTAATCGTTTCTTGTACGTTTGTTAGAAAAGAATATAGGGAAAAATCCTGGAAATTGCAATAAAAAGAAAAGTGCAACAAAGATATATGTTATATTTAACCGTCGTTCCCAATAATTAAAATATCTAATATATTGAGAAAATAAGTAATGGATGTGAGATATGCTCGTGGTTCTAGCAACGTTAAAAATATAACCTAGTATAAAAGTGCAGATTTCTACACAGAAAACTATTAAATAAATAAAATTAAATAAAAGCGCGAGCATTATAAATAATAAAGAGTCTGTAAGCAATATATAAAACTATAAGAAGAATGGCTAGAAATTCTAGACCAACCATGTAGGTGGTATTGCTAAGCAAGGAAGAAAAGGGTAAAACGGTAAGAAGAAGTAAGGATATATAACAATTTCAGAGAACTGCTTTAATTTAAAGTACAGACCTTCCACAGGCGGCTCGACCTGCCGTTTGTGGGGTATGTAGTATGTAAATGCAAGAGGGAAATTAAAGAAACAACTGGTATATAATTAATATTGAAAGATTACAACAACAGTATTGAAAGGTTACAGAATGTAGATATTGAAGTACAAGTGCAGTAGTAAAGAAATTTCTTTGGTAGAAAGTGATGGATCTTATAGAGTTTCGAATGAAACTTTGTGTTTCCTGAGAATAGTTCTAGCAGATGTCTGCAGACTATATTTCTCTGAAGGAAACTAAGATCCGGAGAGTGATATCAAGATTCTGAGCAGGGATCAGAAACTTACTGGTTATGGAAGGTTATAGAAAGATTTGAGATGTATGATCTCTTATTCGCTCTAAGGAGGCTTCGAGAGATTTGGGGAAGATGGAGAGGTTTTGAACTCAGAGAGAAAGGGTCTGAAGAAGTTCTGCCTTCTCAAGTGAGTGAGGTCTGTTTATATAAGCAAACTGGGTTCCTGTAGAAATAGTTCACGGGTAGTACTGTAGCGAATAGTAGTAAGTGCACAGTGTTACAGTGAACAGTGACCGAACATAATTATGAAAGTTTTGAGAAAAGAAAAAGTTGACAGACTTCTTTCGGCTTAGAAATTATGAAAACAGCCAGGAGTCTTTCGGCGCCTTGTCCTTAGGAGAATCTGGAGAGATCTTCCACTGGTTCAGGCTCCTCTTCTTCTTCTTCGTCCTTCACACTTGCCCAGTTGTGAGGAATGGGAGTAAATCCTGGGATCCCATAGCAGTCATCTTCATTTGAATTGCCACTATGATTGGAATGAGAAGAACCTGGTTTCTTCAATTTCTGAAAGGGCTTGTTTTAGCATCCCGGCTAGCTGCTGATGAGACTTAGCAGATGCTAATTTAGAAAGTACAAACCCTTTGTCATGTAGAAAGGGGGTGATATCTTCAGAAGTGTTTGGAGCATTGCTCCTTAAAAACAGCCATTCTGAGACGGCTTGCTTGGAGACCCTATCAAAAAACTTGAAACCATCCCACCATTTGACTTTGAATCGTCTTATGAGAATGGGGATGCCAGTTTCAGGGGCTTTCCTATAATCAAAATACCATCCAAGGACCCATGATACTCCGAAATAATAGAAAAAGAGCATCAATTTGGGGAAATTTTTCTCAAATGGAAGTGGGGTGAATTTTTCTAGAAAAAGCTCATAACTGGGATGGATTTTTGGGTGGATCAATTCGTCAGTAGGTCCCAAATATTCCCACCAGCGAATAAACCAATAAGGAATGGTTTTGATATCAAAGTCTTCAAAAAAGAATAGCCAAGTATGGGAATTATTGGCATTCTTTCTCCAGAAAGTGTTCCACCAAGCTTGTTGATAGTCAAAATATGAAAAGGATGTCCTGTATGGAAGGGCTTCATTTGTTTTGGTGGCGAGTTTTTGCAAGGCTAGTGGATCAGGTTTCCACTGGGAAGGGTGAATGACCCTATGAATCCTGGCTGTGGAGTAGTTCACATGACCTCCTTGTGAAAAATGTCTGAAAGTAACAGATTTTGTTTCTTCCAGAATTTTCTCATAAAACTCATTTGTTTTGTAAATGTCATGAGGAGTATATAAAAATTTCTCAGAAAACATGTTTTTAGCAAATACATATGGATCTGCGTTATAAAAACCATTTTCAACATTGCAGATATTTTGAAATATTGTTTTATGAAAAAATTTTGATTTTGGAGGAGCTGTCTGAGTAGACTGAATGACCACCTCACTAGAAATTGTTTTTCCCTTTGCCTTTTGAGTGGCTATGGGAGAAGGATCAGGACTTACCATCGCCATGGATGGTTGTGGCTGACTATTGAAGGCTTGTTGGAGAAGCTGTAATGCTTCTTCCTGAGATAACTGTGTTATATCAAATTGGGAGAGTTTATCCGAAGGATTTCCTGTAAAGGGAACAGGTTCCTTTTTGACTTGGCTAGAAATGGTAGTAATATTCAATGGTTGCTGAACAGCCTTGAGCCAGGTTTTGAGATTAGTCATTCCTGGGGTTTTCTTTTCGGAAGACGATTCTGCAACTTGTTTTCCTTTGTCTCTCCTTGTGGGTTTGTTTGGTGGTTTGGGAGGCATTTTCCTTGTAAAAATTCTCTTGTGAGAAAATCTGGG